ATCTTGATAGCCCAGAATCTCAGACCACGATCAAATGAAATTTCACAAGGACGAGGGCACCCCTGGCCGCGTGACCCTGGGCAGGCCTCGCCACGTCCCCAGGCAATTCTCCAGGACATTGATCTCCCTGGAGGAAGGAGCTTCCTTGCTGAGTACTCCCTAAATCAGTGGTAAATCACAGGTTCAGGCCAAAATAAAATAAAAATAAAGATAATTGAGAAACATCACGCTCTGATCCCAAAACCCGTGTCCCCAAGTAGAAGCCGTGTGACTTGGCCGCCAAAAGGCCGAACGTTCTCTTGGGGAGCATTGAGGAGGGCACAGTGCCCAGGACCAGGAGGGAATGGCTTCTCCACGCTCTGCCCTCTCTGGCCTTCAAACATGAGGAAGGGCATTGACAAATTTGAGAGTAGGGTGACTGGGAGAGGGAAAGATCAGAGGACCCCGGGGTTGAGCGGAGGAGCCAGAGAAGGCTTAGAAAGGGCAAGGGGCCGGACGTCCTTGTGGGCCGCGGAGGGCAGAGCCAAGAGCCTGAGGGGGAAGCTACCCAGATCTCAGCGTGACTTCAGGGGGCGGTCCTCCCAGCCATCGGGCGCTCTTGAGGTGGGCAGGGAGGGGTTCTCCCACCCGGGCGTGGTGAGTAGGCTGCAAACGTGCAGGTGGACAAGTCGCCTCATGGCATCCCATCCGGCTCTGCCGGTCTGTGAAGAAGGCTGGAAAAGGGAGTGCAGGGGCAGGTGTGCGGGAGGACCGCCCCTGGCAGGGCCCCGTCAGCATGTGTCACTTCCCTTTGATTCATTCGTTTATTCAACCAACATTTCTCCGTTCAACTGCTGACTCCCAGGCGCTGGTGTTATCGAGATAGATAAGGTTTTAGGTTTCTCACTTACTAACTGTGTGACCCAGGCCAAGTCACCCCTCCTCTCTGAGCCTCAGTTTACTTTTCTGTAAAATAGGCACACTTACCTCACTGAGGTGATGGGAGCTATGAATATCATTGAGACAGGGTTTCTGGTGTTAAGGAGTCCACTGTTATCTAGTAGGGTGTGTGTGTGTGTGTGTGTATGTGTGTGTGTGTGTGTGCGCGTGTTTACCCTGGTGCAATGGAAAATATTCAATTAATTTGAAGTTAAAGATCTATGCACAAATCCCAGCTCTGCTCCTTACTACTGTGTGACCTTAGGCAAGTCACTTGTCCTCTGGGCCTCAGTTTCCTCATCCCTAAATCGAAGGGGTTGGAGTCACAGCCTCCGAGGTGGGTGTCAGCTCTCACTCTGGGACCCTGTGGCCTCGTCCTAGGGAGGAACCCTCTCTATCGAGGCAAGAGAGTACATGCTCTTCAAGGTGGAGTCTCAGGAGCTGCTTGGGGCACAGAAAAGTGAAGGGACCTTCCCAGGGTCACACAGATGGGATAGGTCAGAGGCAGGCCTGGAACCCAGGTCTTTGTCACTCGGAGGCCAGCTCTCTGCCCAGTAGACCACACTCAGCTGGAAAGATATAAATCAAAAAAAGCCACATGCCCCAGCCACGTGCAGTAAGTGCCGGACAGAACTGGATTCAAATCCCCATTCTCCTTCCAGTGGGCAGCACCAGGGCTCACCAGCCTGGAACACGACGTCTCAGCGAAGCAGAAAGGGAGGGGCAAGAAGGGGATGTCTGAAGGCAGAGAGTAAATATTTGCAAAATATTCCTTTAGCAAGAGCTGTATCAATTTCATGCCTGGGTGATAATCCAGCCCGATCATTCCCCTTGAGTTCACGCAGAGATGGGGAATGGCAACAGGTCCTGGAACCAGGAGGCCTGTGAGTGAATGCTCCTGGAGGCTTTCAGTCCATGGGTGCTACAGAGGTGCTGCCCTATTCAATTAAACCAACATGTATTAAGCACCTCATGTCTGTGAGACACCCAAGGATTTATGCTGGGGACATAAATGTGAACATAGGAATCCTAGCATTCCAGAGCTGGGAGGGCCCTAGAGCAGGGAATGTCAGGGCTGGGAGGGAGCTTAGAACAGGGGATGTCAGGGCTGGGAGGGGCCTGAGAACAGAGAAGGTCAGCGCTGGGAAGGGCCTGAGAATAGGGAATGTCAGGGCTGGGAAGACTCTTAGAAAATGAAATATCAGAGCCTAATAGGATATCGAAGGGCATCGAACATCAATCCATAGAGGAGGAAACTTGACTGAGGTTGCCAACCAAGGCCTGTGAGATTCAGCAGGATCTGAGTTTTCAGCCTCCACCTCAGACACTATCTGTATGACCGTGGACAAACCAGTAGTCTCTCTGGGTCTCAGTTTCTTCACCTGGAAGGGCATGATGACCTCTAAAGTTTCTCCCAGCTCTAAATTTGTTATACTATGATCCTATGACCAATTAGATGGAGAGTGTCCAGAGCAGGGATTCTTACCCTGGACCCCTCTGGCAGGCCGTTTGGGGAAGTCCACGGACCCTTCTTGGAATCCTGTCTTGAAATTCATAAAATAATGTAGATGGGATTACAAAGAAAATCAATTTTATAGAAAGTCATCAATTTTATATATATATGTATGTATGTATGTATGTATGTATGTATACATACATATAGTGAGAATGAAGATTTGGTTTTTTCCCATCCAAGGTCCTGGATCACCTGAAGTCCGTCCATGAACTTCTTGGGGGTCTTTTGGTCCCAAATTAGGAACCCTGGTGTAGAGCAGAACACCATCAATGGGAGAGGGGGCACGATGATTCGGGTCTGCTATTCCCCGTCCCTAAAGGTCCGAAGGGTCAGGGGCTGCTGTTCTTTTCACAAGAAGCTACTGTCCTCTCCTCTCTCCCCCTCGAAGCATAGGATCAGAGATTCCTGGAATTAGAAGGATCCTCTAATGCAATCTATTGCAACCCACTCATTTTAGAGATGAAGAAAGGGAGTTTCAGGGAGCTTAAGGCGTTTCCCCAAGGTCACACAGCTGGTAAGAGCCTGCGTTCACACCAATGTTCTTTCTACCACCTCATAGGTCTGCCTAGGTAGGCCACGTGACCCACATAAAGTCTCTCTCTCCCCAGAATCAAATTGCTTTACTGTGAGCACCTCCTGTCCTTACCTGCCATTGGGAACAAAAATAATAGATCAGGTACCGCTTAATCACCACATCCAGAATACCGCCGCTGCTGCTGGAAATGAATGGGCAAGACAGGCAGGGATTCATCACCCGCGAGGTGCCTGTCATGGCTGGCATCCAGGGCACCCTAATGCTTCTGAAGTTAACTTTCCAGCTCAGCAAAAGGCCTGGACTCAACAACAACGAACATTTACTGAGTGATGGCCAAGTGTAGAGCCCACAATAGGCCCGGCCCTGGTGGGGATGCAGAGCTGAAGAAAACATGGCGCCTTCCCTCGGGGAGATGCCAGTCTTTCAGGACATGAGACAAGAACTCAGAACTGTACTATTGCCCTATTGGGGGCAGACACAGGACAAAGAGACAAAGGTCTCTTCCACCTTGGGGTGGGGATAGTGTCAGTGAAGTCTCCCTGAAGGAGGTGGCATTTTCTCCGGGCCTTGGATGGCAGGAGCCCCGGGGAAGGCAGGAGGTGAATCCCAGCTCTGCCACTTATGACCTGTGTGACCTCCCTGGGCCTCAGTTTCCTCACCCATAAAATGGGGGAGTTGGACTCATGGCCCCTGATAATCTGCGTTCATTCCGACCCATCGTGTGACGAGCCAGCTTTGTAGGCCCCTAGCCGGTCAGGAGGATGGGAGTTTAATGGGCAGCCTCATTCATTCCCCTGTACAGGCTCCATCTGTCCAGCGTCTTAAATTGGTCTGAAGCTGTCAAACTTGGAAGGAAAGAAGGAAGTCTCACGATGAAGTTCTTTATGTTTCCTGGGGTTCTGTTGTACAATTAAAAGACTGTGTTTACTGGCAAGGGAATCTTTATTTGAGCAGTGGTTAGCGTTTCCTGATGGTCAACTTTGGAGCTGAATCAGGCACAACGGCCCGGTTCAGGTCTCTTTGAACGGGGATGTCAGAGCTGGGAGGGACCTGAAATCAAGGAATGTCAGAGCTGGACCTGAGATCAGGGAATGTCAGAATTGGGAGGGAGCTTAGAACGGAGGATGTCAGAGCTGAGAGGGAGATAGAACAGGGGATGTTAGAGCTGGGAGGGAGGGAGAACAGGGAATGTCAGAACTGGGACAGAGCTTAGAACAGAGGATGTCAGAGCTGGGAGGGACTAGTTGACTCTTAGGGCCTTTCTGGCCTTAGGTGTATAATCCTAGGATTTCCCCACTAAAAATCCAGATTCAGACCTGGAAGGGCCCTAACATGTTATCCAGTCCATCCACACCCCGACTCCCTATTTTATAGTTGAAGAAACTAAACCCCAAGGAAGGTATGCCACTTGTCCAGGGTCATACAGGGGACAGAGCCGAGATTCAAACCCAGGGCCTGGCACCCCAAATGCGCTGCACGTAGCAGCCCTCTCCCCTTGCCCCATCTGTGTTTGGCATTTGTTTCTTCATGCCCAGGATGAGAAGATGTGGACAAGTCACATGGCAGGAATTATCGTCCTCACTCTCTGATTATCAGAGGATTATCTCTCCAGCTCATTAATAACCTGGGGCCTCTGAGGAGATTTTTACTTAAATTCTCGGAGAGAACTGGATGGCTATTTAGCCCTGTTTCATCTGTCTCCTGGGGATCCTTCAGCTCTCCCCTTCTCTCTTCACCCCAGAATGCTCTGTCCTCTCCATCCTTCGAGGCCCTGCTCAGGTGGGGGAGGATGAGGAGAGCCCTTAAAGTCTTGGCTGAAGGCACACACCTGAGGTTGGGCAAAAACCAGCCCAGCTGCTGTAATGGATTCAATCTATAAGCATTTATTAAGCACCTTCTATATGCCAGGCCCTATGCTTGGCACTGGGGGTTCAAAGACAAAAATAAAACAGCCCCTGCCCTCAGGGGGCTTACCTTCTTTCAAAGATGGTGGCATCACTTTCACGTGTTTTTGTTTGTTTGCTTTCTCAGAAAAACTTGCTGCCGTGCCTCGGGACGGGAGAGGGGAGATTACAAATCCACGGGCAGCTTCCAGAAGGAAAGACATCCAGGGGACAGAAGGACCAGCCAAGTGGACAGTGGCTGGTGGCGCGGTGCTCACCTCTGTGTGACCCTTCAGCTGACTTAGGAAATGATGCTCTGCGGTGAAGAAGGGTGCCCAGGACAGCAGTCCATAAGCAATATTCCCATTGTAGACTGAGGGCACCAGAAAGACGTTGGCATCTTTACCAAGGGACTCCTGGCAGCAGCCAGGCCAGTGCCACTCTGGCCAGACCCAAGGGAAGAAGGATTACAAATGGTTCGAGTCACCTTCCTCCGCCTCCCCAGTTTCCAGTAGTCACCAAATCAAGCTTAATGTAAATGTCAGAATATGGAATGTGAGTTGGTTTTTTTCTAACCCAAAGTTCTCCAGTGAATAGCTCCCTGGATATGAGAGGGGTTCGCCGGCTGCTGATCAGCCAGGGTGTCTGGTCCTCGCTCCAGGGATGGGGAGGGGTGGGGGTCCCACAGTGGTACCAGAGCCAGGAGCCACTCCCATTGTCTCACTTTCTGGGGGGGTGGGGGGCTTGAATTCGAAAGGACAAATAAGAATGAATTCCTACAGCATCCGGCGAGAAAGTAGCCAGTGGAGGTCTGTGGTAATCTCTGCAAACGCCCGGCTCAAGCATTCATCATCGGGGCGACATGTCACAGAATAATCCAATCACAGCGTTCTTAATTCTTTAGCTTTCTGGATTGCCACAACATAGACTATTTGAGCTAGAAGGTGCCTTGTGGGTAATCTAGTCTGACCCTTGTGTTGTGCAGAAGGGGAAACTGAGGCTCAGAGAGGGAACACAACGTTTCAGGGTCACAGAAGCAAGTCAGCAATCAGTGATATTAGCTCACGTTTCTGCAACATGTTCAGGAGTTTGCAGAATGCTTCTCTCTCAACAGCCCTGTGAGGTGCGTTAAGTACATGGATTATTAGTCCCCATTTGCAGAAGAGTAAATTGAGGCTAAGAAAACTCAAGTAATTTGTGGCTGGTCACACAGCTAGTAAGGGTTGGAATCAGGATCCAAATCTAGATCTCCAGACTCCAATGTGGTTCTCTCTCCAATGTATCATGTTGCTTCCAAGTGTTTTTCTTTTTTTTAATTGAATTGAGTTAAATCTCCCAATTATGGGATACCAGATTCTGGCCTTCAATTTCCGGAGAGAGCTCTGCTTGAAAAAGGAGTGTGTGTGTAAATGTCTGTGACAAAAATAGATGCAATTAGAGTCATTTCCACAAATGCTTAAGTGTATGCTAGAATAATAACAGTGCGTATTTTATCATTGAAAAGCGTTTCACATCCATTCTCCCAGCGAATCCCCTTATGACCCCCACAAGGAAGCCAGGACTGCCCTATTAGCCCCATTTTGCAGATGAAGAAATCAAGGCTCAAATGTGGGAAACTGTTGCTTCCCAGCCTTCCCTCCTCCATCATAGTCTTCTGAGATCAATGAAGAAAATATAATTCATCTAAGTACTTGATCAAGTCTGTATAACCGTGGCTAAAAAGGGGACCAGCTGGGCAAGACTCACTGAACCCCCCACCCTTAGTGTCTGAACACGGGATATTAAAGTCCCGCAGTCCACTCTCCTACACTCCCTTGGCCCTTGGAGTCATTGCTCTCTCCAGCATCTCTCAGCCCCAATGTCACTCAATCACCACGCCCGTCTGGACCACCTTGGATATTGTTCATTTGTATTTTTCACCCCTGAGCATGCAGCAGCAGGGTCTCCTGGCCTCGTGCCTGGGCCAAGCTAAATGCCCAATATCCACTTCCCATCTAGGTGTGGTGGCCCTTTGTCTCTTAACAGTAGCTATAATTCCACCTCATTATCCCCTCTTTCCTCCTCTCTGCTGCTCCTACCCAGAGAGACAGTCATCGTTCCTTAGAATGTAGCTTCATTTCCTACCAAAGAGTAGGTATGGGGAGGGAAGCATTCAGGGCTTCCCTTAACACCCCCCAGGTCCATCACAGGACACACTTCAGGCCAAAGTAAGATATTCCTGCGTCCCCCTTAGAGAAGTGGTCCCATCACCCCATTCAAAAATGAATGATTCCTCTTTGCCCACCTTATCAAGGTAGGCAAACCTCTGCCTGGTTTTTCATGCCCAATGCAATCTTTCATTGATCTGCCTTACCAACTTTCTCTCTCATTCTCCCATTTCAAGGCCCCACACCTACGTTATTTCCTACTATTCCCTTTCCACCACCCTAGAATCTAGACAAACTGGACAATTTGCCTTTGCCTGAGCGAGGTCTTGGAGGCTAAGTAAGATTTTGACAAGTAGAGATGGAAGATGGAAGAAACAGCAAAGGTCTAGAGGCCGGAAAAGGCAGCATAGCAGAAATCAGGAGGCTTCGTTTATAGCCCTCACTCTGTGAACTACTCCCTCTGGGGACTCAGTTTCCCCGTCTGTAAATTTGCAGTGTTAGACTAACTAGTCCCTTGATCCCCTTCTCATATTCTTGACTTCTCAGTGCCAGTCACCACGAGAGTATGAATTCCCTACCCAAAGGATGATCTGAGGGCGAACCCCGTGACTTTGCTAATCACCGTTCTAAAGTTGGCCCCAGGATTATTTTCAAACGTATACAGTAAATTCCGGGAATCCAGCATGGATATTCCCCCAGGAAAGGGGGACTTTCCAAAGAATCCAAGGTTCTGGTTAATAGTGAGTCACCAGACAGACCCCACCCACTCCATCAGACTTCAGAGTTCCTACACAGTGTCTTAAAACCGACTGGGCCCTAAACCGTTATTGTTACAATCGTGAGGGGAAAAACGGGTGCTAGAAGGTGCTAAAGACAAGGTCGTAGGTTTAAGGCTGGAAAGGACCTCAGGGGTCATCTAGCCCCCACGGACCACCTTTCCATCTCGTCAAATCACCCTCAATCCCTGACACTCCTCCTCAGCGGATGGAAATGACTGGACAATTACCTAGGCCCAGAAACATCCTCAACCATCTCCAGGATGGTGTTACTGGGCATGGCCATGCCCTCCCCTCAAAATCCCAAAGGAAGGTACACCTCCAAATGAGTGCATGGAGCTGGTCTGGCCCTCCTGATCAGGCCCCTAGGGGAAACTGAGTCTCAGAGAAGTTACATGACTAACTCACAGGTAGCCTTGAACCTATAAGGTTAGATATGGAAGGAACCTTAGAACTGAACCTGGACTCAGACTTAGGGTCAGGAAGGCCTGGGTTCAAGTCTTGCTTCTCACACATAATATCCATGTCACCCTGGGCAGGTCACTTAACCTGGTCTGAACCCTGCCCCCAAAAACCAGATCGCTAGAGTCTGAAAAGCTGGGTCTGAATTACTACCTATGTGACAACTGCCTGTGGAAAGTCACTTAACCTCTCCAGGCCTCAGTTTTCCCAAAATCCCTCCCTCCCAGCTCTAGACCTATGATGTCATCAGCATCGAATGTCAGAGCTGGGAGAGACCTTGGAGTACCCTGATTGATTTTGACTCCATCTCATCAGACTTTTCCATAACCCTTTACAAAGTGCATTAAACATATTAATGTGTCTTTTTTCCTTAGAACAATCTTATGGGAGGTAGGTAGTTCAAAGACTGTTATTCCCATTTTACAGAGGAGAAAACCGAGAGTCAGACTACTGGGTGTCTTATGTTGTCACAGCCAGGACTTGGACCCACGGTCCACTTCTGACTCCAAGTTCTGGGCTGTGCCAACAATGACCATAACGTTCTTTCTTCACTCAGTAAGGTCCTTCCCACTCTCACATTCTTTGGCAATTCAGGAAGCATTTTAAGAACTTCCCATAGCTCAGGGTTACCAGGAAGAATACCGGTTACTGGTCACAGAGACGCAGGACATGTGGATGGACACAGGCTTCCAGGCACTGCCAGATCCAGGTAATGGAGGACTGACCCTCACATTACCTGTTGTCTTTTCCACGGCTTCCCAAGCTAGCCTCACCCTTGCGTCCTCCTCCTGTGAGCTGCTGCCCTGTCACCCGGTCCTTCATCTAAAGAAAAAATGGTAACACCACCATTCACAAAGGAATTTGTATTCAATCCTGATATGTGTGACTTACTGTATTTTGTATGGTTCTTTTCCCTCTGGGAATTGTGTGTTACTAATGAGCAGTTCTATGCTTTTCTCCTACCCCCCCCCCCATGTATACTGTACTTGGTGTGTGTCTTGGACTCTCTATACTGAGCCAATAGTTGGTAGATGCCCACTGGCTTATTTAGTCTCTCCCGCTCTAGCCACACCCACCTGTACAGCCCTTACTCATCCCCAAGGTAGGGGACCAGGTCTTCAGCTGCTCCCATAGCGACACATCTGGAAACCTAGTCATCTGATTGTGAGCATTTGCCGTTGACTAAGATCAACCTTAGGCTGTTAGTTTAAAAACGCGTGCGTCTCGCGGGTAGATTCCCATACCCACCCCAAGCCCCACCGCCATGATGCTCTAGAGCAGCCACGGGAGGTTAATGGTATTCCTGTCCTCAGGATTTTGAGGTCTCTGCTTAACTGATGGATACAGACAATTTAGAAAACCGAACACAGACGTTGGGCTGGAAAGGAGAGTCATCCATTCTCTCAGCTTGAGGCGGCTGGCTGAGGTGGAATCATCAACCCCATGATGACATGGTGTCTTTGGGCTACAAAAAGCATTTCACAGGCATCGTTTCACTGGATCCTTGCAGATAGAGGACACACTGATCCTTCTACCCATTTTCAGGTGAGGAAACAGAGGCAAGATCTTGAGGGTGATAAGTGATGGAGCCAGAGCTCGAATCCAGTCTTTGGACTTGCAGGTCAAGACTCTGCCCTGCTGTTGTACTGGTTCTGTGGCTTGTCCAGCCTTTGCGGCTTGTTTTCTCGCCCATGGTCACGTCCATCTCCTCACCTCTGATGGAGGAGACGGAACCCAAATTCATTCAGATGAGGTGTTTGGGGGGTATCTCCATCATGGTGCCCCCTCATCCTCGCCCTTCACCCCTCCCCCTTCACACAGATAATCAGGAGATGAGCATTAAAACATCCCACCCCTGACAATCCAGACTGACTTCGCACCCTCTGGTGGTGCTATTTCCAGCATACTCCTCACATGTTAATTAACAGGGTACTTCAGAGCAGCACAGTTTCCTGATTGACTAATGAAGGACTGATTCCTAATGACTTTGGGTATTATGGATCCAGGATTCTCAGAAGGTCGTGAGCAAATTGCTGAACTAGGACTGACAGCTCTCAGAACAATAAAAACTTCCCATTAGAGAGCTAGATGTTCGGGCGATACAGCGCCAAACACTGAGTCACAGAACTGAAAAATCGGAGAGTGTGAAGAGACCTAAGAAACCCT